TTCCCAAATCTACTCTGGTTCAAAATCACCCACATATCATTTTGATCCTTTCACATCTTTGAAAACCTACATCTTTGATGGAATATTCTGAGCAACTCTGCTGGCTGCGAAGAATAACATGTGAGAAAAATGAAGAGACATTCTTAAGGAAAAAAGCAAGTGTAAGAATGGTTTGTCTCCCATCTTCTAAACTAAAACAGAACCAGGGGGATGTGAGGCTTGATTCTGTAGAGAGAAAGGTCTCTGTCCCTGGTGTTCAGGAATCTTACCCTCCAGAGGCTCAAACTGAGAGTCTTACTGGACACCCTGAAGACATGGCATTTAACTTGTAAATACTTCTTGAGATTCACTAGAAACCAGCTTCAAAACGCAAACAGCCCCATCAGAAATAATGTTCCATGTGTCTTAGTTAAAATCCTTCACAACTCAGCAGTTAGCAACTATTTTTAGTTATATGCTGAGAATTCCTGTATCATTACATATAGAAGTCAGATACTGCATTTACCTCATGAAGAGGTCTTACAAAAATCATCTTCATTCTTTAAGACCTCTACTCAGGGGCTTTCATAATAGTTACAGTGCTAGCTTGCTTTTGATCTTGAAGTTCTCCACGTCCTAGCACAGGTTCTGCTTTCCTTGAAGGCCAAGGACTAGTGTTTATTCTCAAGCTTTCACATTTGCTGCAAACTACTGCTACAAGGTTGAGTCATACTCACAATCGCTTCAATGGACTCATGTTCTGTCATGGGATCCTCTCAGTCTTGTTACAGGGCCAGTTTTTGTTAGCAGAACATACCTGAGTTTGCCAAGATGGCTTTTCTCTAACCAAACCCAAACCCCACACTAATGGTGATCACAAGTGCTGCTTTTTGCTTCAGTATTGGGAGATGCTATAAATATTCTTGATTTATGCTCGTTATGACAGCTTGTTGCTTTCTCAATATACACGCCAATTTTTTTTTTTGCTTGTGTGACTTAATGGAGCTGTCTCGTACCCTCTCAAGCTCATCATAGATGGTACTTGTCCCTTGTCTTCCACCCCACTGTTCTACCATCTTCCCATAACATAGGAAATTTGTCAGCTTTAAAGCTTTATTACATACTGATGAGGTCACCAGCTCCACCCTCAGTAATTCTGGTATATAATTCTGAATGTACATTTCCTTATACACTAGTGGAATGGGGACAGAAGTGAAGGGAAGCTGGAGCTGAGGGTGTAGCCATAAATAGTGTGTCCTCTCCAACATTCCCTGCATGTCACTTGAGACTAAGCAAGATTAAGAAATACTTTATTTTCTACTCCAAAAAGATGATAGCAATGAGACCTTCCACTCTGTATGCCACTTCAGTTTTCAATACTTTTGTACATTCTTACATTTCATTATTGAAATTAATTGATCTGACTTGTCTATTTCAGATTTTAGAGTCTCAGAGATATTCACTGATACATACTCATTGATATATTGACTCAGAGCTACTCACATATATATATATACACACACATATATGTATACATATATATATCCCAAAGACACAGTAAATGGTAGATTCAGATTTTAAAGCTAAGTAGTTAAATTCCAGACAGTTTTCATTCTAGTCATTGTAGTTCTCAATTTAGATTTAGAATCTTTCTACTACTATTCTTGCCATTATTTGTGCTTTTAGCCAAGCCTAGATTTTTCTGGAGTACACAGTGAAGTCAAGAAATGTTAAATGTTAACTCATTTTGTTTCACCAAGGTACTTGTTGGTCTATATATTAGAAAAAATATTTTCTACTTTCAACTGAACATATTTCTAGAACTGAAAGTTAACTCTGTTAAGTTTGCCAATTAGGTTAACTGGCTATATTCAGACTATAATTTAATCTTAGAGCGCTCTTCCTTTGGGTGCTTAAGCAAAAACAGCAACATCTTACATGCCTTGTCAAGACTGTGATCTATTTGCTAGTGCTTGTTTCTGTCTGGGCCTTCTTTAAAGATGTAAGATCTACAGCACTTTGTCAGCTATATGTTTAGGTTTCAGTAGCCATAAAGCTTTTTACTATGGCTCTCTTCTTTGGGCAGGGTGTGAGACATTCACAGTTAACACCCAATCTCTGGCAGGTTCTTACAGTATATGAGAATCCTGAATTATTTCTGTCAATGTATACTATACAATGGCATACATTCACCTACCCAACAATCATACCATTGTGTACAATGGATTTTGATAAGAGAATATGATTTCCTTAGTGCTACTAGAAAAGCACTGTTAGCACTACCAAACTCACAGCAGACCACACACCAACTGACAAAGTGATGAAGTGTCAAGCACATTAAGACTGGGTAACATCCAGAAGCCAATTCAAATCCCTATATAGTGAGAGGTTCATTCAGTCTTTGTATCCAGCACTGAATACTACCTAGCAGGTTGAGTAATTTCACCAGTATCACCAATGAGCTGCCCATGTAGAATAAGGTCAAAACAATAAGAATTGGGAATAACCCAGATGATCAAAAGTGGAGTTATTATCTTTGTAGTACAGCTCTGCTGAGTTAGACATGTACTGAGAAAAGACGGCACTGCCATTATATACTGAGTTTACACAGGAACAAATATGCCAGGCAAAAAAACCAAACAACAAAGAACAAATCAGACCAACTTGTGGGGAAACATGTGGGGACCTAAAGGCCTCACCTTGCATAGATCCGAGAGGAAGTTACTGGGGGCATGGCCTGGCTTGCTTTGAAAGTCTGAAGAATACTTCCACACTGCTGAGGAATGCATGATCAGCGCCATGATCAGCGCGTGACCATCCTTAAGATACACCCTGTGGTGGGGATTTCCAGGTGCCTTTATAAGCACTGTAACACCTGCAATTAATGAGTCCCTGCTTGACTAGACTCCCCGTCGCCTCTGAGTGTCCCTGGTACTGGGGGCGGCGTGGGCTGGTGAACAGCGTGCTTACTCATCCCCAATCATCACTGCGCCAGGGGTCACTGGTTTGAACCCCCAGCAACTGGCGCCCAATGTGGGGCACAAACCCACGACCCTGAGATTAAGAGTCTCATGCTCTACTGACAAAGCAAGCCAGGCCACGCCCCCATTAACTTCCTCTCGGACCTATGCAAGGTGGGGCCTTTAGGTCCCCACACCAACTAACCAAACACAACCCAACAAAAGTTGCCCAGCCAACACATCAGTTGTTCCCTAGGAAGAACTGAAGTAAAGCAGGTGGCTGTGGCACGAAACCAGTTCAAAAGGGATTTCTTTTAAGTTATATTTAGAGGCCAATTATCTATAAACGCTGACCCATTGAAGGCCTAAGATTTCAAACAAACTGAAGTCACTGCCTTCAAGTGTCTTCTAAGTGAACCATGACCACAAAAGAAAAGCCACATTAGGGCACTGCAGGGGTTTCTTGGTTTCTTTCAGTTTTCATTTGTTTTTTTTCTGAAACAGGGTCTCCCTGTAACCCCAGTTGGCCTGAAGTTGCTACTAGACTAGACTGGTCTCAGTCTCACAGCGATCCACCTGCTTCTACCTCCGGAGTGTGCGAACTAAAGATGTGCAGCACCATGCACAGCTCACTGTTGGGTTTGCATTCATAGCTCGTCTGTGTACGTACAGACACACATACAGGAAGCAGCAGCACGTCTGCCGCTGAAGAGCAACATGCTCATGTTGTAAAAGTGCATCTAGCTTAATGTGCACTACTCACATTATAAATGGCATTTCTAGGTTTTACTTTTTGTGAGAAAGAGAGTTTAAGGTATTGCTGTTATTAACTCATTTGACAACTATGAGCTCAGGAGTTGATAGCATAATTACTAACAAATCAGGTCCTCTTAATGAAAACACTCTCATGTCTTTGAAACTCTAAAAGAAATAGATAGTGAATATAAGAAATTAATCTCAAAAGGAGCTCTATGCCTAAGTTTCTAAAATGTCAAATGGCTTCCTTATAAAAGTCAGTCCCAACTTTAGGAAATACAGATGTTTAAAGCACTCTTCAGACTCCAGTGCCAGAGAGATTATTAATAATGCTTACAATAGAATGCAGGAATAAAAATGAGGATGTTACACATGAGAAAATACCTAGGCACAAGTAGGGCAAAGTTCAGCCCCTCAAAAGACCTTATGCTACAGCAGTAAAGGGTTAGCACCATCATGGAGACTAAAGGAAGAGTCATAGTAGCTCCTCCTCAGAGGAGGAAAACCCTGAATGAGGATTGTCAAGTATAGAAAGACCTTCCTGGATGGTCTCAGAGGCAGTGGCAGCCTAAGACACAGAAGCCATTGGAACTTTGCAGACATTCTGGCACCATTAATCAAAACTACTCCCGGAGGAGAAAGGCAAGGCATATGATAACTCCTTCACATAGGTGGAAACAGGTAGCAGTTGAAAGTAACAAGAAAAGCCATGCATTTCAGCTCAGACGTGTGACACAGGATACAGCTTTGAATGAAAGCCCTAGGGACAAGGTGCTTAAAGAACCAGCGCTTTCTGAGGACAGATCTGACGAGTTACATAGCTACACTCACAATTATGGCAGAGGATAGTATCTTCGGGGGAAGGAGGAGACACTGTTTGGGAAACAGCAGAGTAAGCGCTAGCAAGGAACAGTGAAAGGGAGGCAATGTGGACTGAGAACAAAAACATTCCATCCTGTAACTAGAAGACTGCTGCTGACTCTCAGAGAAACAATTTCATTAGAGTGAAGTGTAAGACTGGACTGCAAGGTGCCCACAAGCGAGTGATGAGCACGTACAGACTATGGACATGGACTTCTCTCAGACACGCAGTGAAGAAGGCTGGAGAAGCTGGAGGCTTTGGCATGACTGGATACATGACCACATTTGCAGACCACAAAAATAAACCATAATTTTGCATAATTTTGTACTGATCAAGCCCAGTTATTTTTAACCATTAAAAACATTTTCTGAAATAAAAGTTAACACGAATGTTAAATTATATACATTTTATAACTTAAACTTAATACAAACATAAAAGCACTATCATTTTATGACAAATTTTATTTCTAAAGAATCTGTACAGTTTTGTGATTAAACCTCTTCAGAATGATTTGCCTCTAGTGTCATGATATTAAATATTATTAACAGTTTCTGCTTTAGTTCCAGAATAATGACTGTGATATAAAGTATTACACTGAAATAATTATGCATGCCTTCTTCCTCAGCCCTCCTCTCCCAAAGCAAAATATCTTCAGGGTAATTAGTAATTTGAATAGTATTTTTTCAAGAGAAAAATTAAAAATAGTACTCCATTATTACATTTTTAAAGACCTAAAATGTTCTTCACAATTATTTTTGTTGATAAAACATGCTTATTTATTATATACACATGCATACATATGAAATTCCTGGCTAAAATACATGCAACCGCCATCAAAACAAATTATTAAACCATCCTCAGAATCCTAAGAATGCCCTTTTTAGTAAGTTATTCATGTTTGGAAGTAGGATATAACTACCAAATTAAATAAAATGTTTAAAGAAGACCTTTATTAAGCACAAACAACTTTTAACACATTATGATACAAATAGGAAAATGTCTTTCAACGAATATATCAAAGATCTGAAAGGTTTTCTCTATATGGACACATTAAAAATAATCAATTTCAAAGAATTACAAAGTAAAATTCTGAAGACACCACTATCTACTAACAGTTTCATTATGGTCTAAATATACTACATTACCTGGGGAAGAAGGGCAACCATGTTTTTAAAGAGAATTCCCAAACTCATATGAGCACCATTCAAAGCTTATTATCAGTTGTTCATCCACAAACTGACAAGTCAGGTAAAGCTTGAAAGCAAGTATTCAGTGCAATGTTTACAGTTCTTTCTTTAAAATAGATACCTGGAGTCTATAGTCTCAAAGCATGTTAAGTGATTATGACTTCATAGTGGAGAGACGTGTTAGCATTTAGAGAGAGACATGTTGTGGGAAGAAGTGAGGTTTATCCTGCTGTGAAATGTGTCTTATGAGCTGAGGCTGCAGATCTGTGGGAGCTGAGGACATTAGCTCTCCGTGGTTACCATTTCGGGGTGCCTCAGCTGCTGCCTTTTGAGACTGACTAGTTTCATCCTGTCTCTGATGTGTTCTGCAGTAGAAGCCATATCACTTGGACTCCCAAAATACTGTTCAGTTCTAAAATCAGAACACATAGAAAACACACAGATTAATATAAATTCATTCAACTGTAATGGACGCAAAAGGAAGCAAATATTATCATAAAAAGAGTCTACGTACTATGGCCCATGAACAGAAACTAGTTTATTCTAGGCCAGTCACAGTGGCTCCCATTTGTAACCCCAGCAAGGCAGGAGGACTGCTGTGAGTTCCAAGCCAGTCTGGCATACACAGTGAGTTCTAGGCCAGCCTGGCTATAGTATGAGACACTGTCTCAAAAAAGCAAAACAAACTCAGAAAAAAACTCAACAACTTCATTTGCAGACCACACTGTTTATCTCTGATCAATAATGGGCTAGGAAAAATATTTTTAAATGGTATAAAACACATTAACCAAGGTAAACTGTATTAGGGATACATGTCATACTAAATGCAATTATGATAATCTCAATAAACTAAAACATACAGCACGGAAGATGTTCTGTTTTTTAGATCTGGGTCTGCAAGCACACAGAAACATACAACTTGCACATGGATTTGGATTTGGGGGCTGTGTATGTCAACTGTCAGACATAGCGGGCAAGGAATTAGTGCTTTTAATATTAAGGCATGTTTAGTAGAATAGATTAAGAAAGTCTTTTAATTTTATATTACTTTCAAAGATACTGTATTCAGTCACAAAATCTTTTAGAACTAGAAGCACTCTTGAAAATCATCTGGTTAACCTCTTAATGTCTTAGGTCAGAAAACAAGCCATAAAAGCTACATGGTTTAATTATGGTCACACAACAGAAAAATTAAGATTTGCCTTTCTTTTATGTTTTGCTTCTGACACTGGAGCTGGAACCAAGGGCTTGAGCAAACGAGGCAAGTACTCTAATACTGAGCCGTATCCCAGGTACCAAATCAGGAACTGAACTGAATCTTTAAACACTGAATCCAGAGAGACCATCCTTTTCTTTTAATGGAGGAATACAGAAATCTGAATAATCTGCCACACAGACTTCCCACACCATTAGCAGACTCAATGGAAAACATACTTGAGATAGTTGGAGATATATTTAACAAAAATATCTAATTTTTATGTAATTTGATATGAATATAAAATAGAATAATTTCAATTACTAAAAGTAGGTGGTTGTGCAACTGATTATACAATTCTTATTCTTCTGTCCCAAAAGGATAAGGAAATGAGCTATGGCACACAGGAAAAACAATCCAAGCAACAGTATCAGGGAGAGACGATCCCAAGGTGGCCTTAGTACCACAGAGCCTGGCTGTGAAGGAGGGAGGTGGAACCTAGGACTGGGGAAGGGGTTCCCAGCACAGAACTAGCATCTCCCCCAACCCTGTTACTAGATGAGCTTTATTCTCTTTTGCTGAAGATATATAATATGACATCAGGCTACTTCTGATAGTTCAAGAATCACTACATAGGCTGGAGAGATGGCGCACTGGTTAAGACTGATTCCCAGCACCCACATGGTGGCTAACAACCATTTAGGTATATGTGATGCCCTCTTCTGACCTCCATGGGCATTGTATGACACAGGTGCACTTACATACATGAAGGCAATACACTCATACACAAAAAATAAAAAGGACAAATAATTTTAAAATAAAGAATCACTAAAGATTAGTTCAATATAGACCATAGACCATGAAAATAATGTTCTTCTAAGAGAATAAAATCGTATCTTTTCAATATGAATTCCAAATACTCATTGGAAGTTTATGACACAGCAGCAGAGAGGCTCTTTTGTCTCAGATCTAAATACTTTCCCTATATTTGGCTCAAGGGATTCCCCCACTCCATGGCTCGAAAAAGCACAATTATCTCACCCTATGGTCAGATGAGATACAGAGAGATAAAGTCACTGCTGGAGGGTAAAAAGAGGAGCTAAGACACCAGCCTCTAGCTTCTTTTCCATCACATTACCACAAAATAAGGATGCCTGTACTTCTATATGACAGCTTGGTTTTTCTGTTTGAATGAAACACCTGGTGGATTACCTCTTAGTAACTCTCACTGAGAAGGCCCAGATCTTTAGGGAAGTAGCTCTTGATTCTTTTTTTGGCTTGTGGATTTTGTATCAGATCATCTGAAATTCTTATCATCAACCATTTGAAATAGAAAGGAACGTGGGGACTAGGATCAATAACTTTCCATATGAATAAAACTAGGATGCCTTAGAATCTATTGAAAAGTAGAGGGTTTGGAGGTAGAGGGACCTGAGATTATACCCTAACACCAACACCTAGAAACCATGAAGTCCTGGTCCAATTACTCAATCTTTCTGAGCCTCAGTTTCTTCAGTTCTAAATCAGGAGCAATCCATGCTGGCCTGCAACTATTTATCATCAGCAATAAAGGTGAAGAATGGAAGCTGATTGGCTTATGTTATATGCTCACTAAGGCCCAGTCCTTTCTCTGAATCTCCCCTTCCTGAATGAGTTCCAAAGGCACACAATTCCCTGTCCTCATGGCTAAGGCTAGGTCTCAAACTAATCAGCAATCATCCTCCTCCTACAGGTTGTCAAGAAACAAACTGGATGTTAGCAAACGCCAACTGTCACTGCTGCCAACAGCTGAATTTGGATTTCTTTTCATGTTACATGGATTTATCGTAGAAATTGAAAATGGGAACCAAAGTCAGTTTACTTGGCTTTCCAAAGAAGAGATTTTTATTCTCTTAATGAATTCACTTTAAAACCTCACCAAATGAAAAAGAAAATTAGAAGAACATGCACCATACCCATCAGGATAAACTACAGGAACAGTTAGTCTATCCAAAAGTGATTTCCCAACTGCTTCGATTTCCTCAAATTGCTCCTCATCATTAATAGCTTCAGGCTCTTCTGGACAGTCTTGCAAAATCTGCAGCAAATAAAAGAGTGACACCAATCAAGAAACATGGAAAGGAAATTAAGTCCATGCAAATTTAGTAAGCTGACAAAGGTGCTTTGGGTTTTACTGTCAGCATCTTCATATGCATCATTTACAAGACTGGTCCATGCTGGTAGAGTCAGCTCAAGAAATTCTAATCACAAAATGAGTACATTTCCCTACTAGCAATGTATAATCAAAATGGGAAAAGTCTATGATTTCTAGGAAAAAATAATTAACAGAATACTGTTTGGGAAATTAGTTCAACTTAAGCTTAAGAAAGTGTCTAGCTCACTAGGTAACCATTTATTAAATATTTAATTGGATATTTATTTATGAGCATGGGATATGAATGAGACAAAGACTATTCTTAAGGAGCTTACAGACTTCAAAACTCAAAGAAAATATAAATAAACACTAACACAGAGTCTACAATCATCACAGATGTGAAGATTTAGCTAGACACTTTAATAACTGATCTGATGTCACTGCTTATAACTCAAATACAAGCAGCTCTACCAACTTTGATGATATTTCATTCATTTATTAAAAAATTCAAGATTTAAATTAGATTTTTCTCAGTTACTATGCTATGTAATTTGCTTGTAGTTATGGCTATATTTATGCTTACTGGTACAAAATAAAATAGTCAAAAGGAATATAATACAAGGTAACAAATGACTTTACATAGGTTTGCACAGCAAAATAAATCAGCATAAACAAAGGCTGCAGAGCAAAAAAAGAAACACTAATTTTCTATTTAAAATCGATTAACTATTATTTATTCTTACATAGTCTTCTAAAGATTTCTACATTTTAAAATATCCTTACATCAAAAAAAGTCTCCTAAATGTTATTAGTGGTGTGAGAAATTCAACCAATTTGCCTTTTGATGGAGGTAGGGTCTTGTGACCCAAGACAGGAGGAGGGCTTCAGGACCCTGCATCAGTTACATGGTATACTCGCTCTGCAGTTTCATCAGGTACAGCATTTAATGGCTGTACACTTTTCTGAATCAGTAGCATATTTCATAATAATGAAAACCTTCACTGAAATAATCAGTAGATGAACAGTCAAGCCTCCTTCTACACTTTCATCATCATCATTCTGTTTGTTTGTTGTTTGAGACAGTCTCTATATAGCCCAGGCTAGCCTTGCACTTTAGTTACCTACTTTAGCTTCCCAGAATACTGTGATTACAGGTATGTACCACCATACTTGGGTCTCTGGGCCCATTTTAACCAAAACAATAATCTGCAAAGTTCAGTGAGCAGATGAGAGAATTAACTATGGCCACCTTCCAACAGCTGCACTTCAGAATATGAAACTGCTTAATTCCTGGGGTTCCTTATAACATCTGTTCTGTCCTAATATTACTTAGGCTTTCCACATATTACAGCATATTTAATATCCCTGTAGATATACTCCTACCATTAAGACGCCAACACGAAATTAACTACCTAATACAGTTCCCCTTTAAAATGGAAATGTAAAGCTTGGGTTATGTATATTTCTACTGTGAAGAGTAAGAAAAAAAAGTTCTATTAAATTTTGCCTATGTAACACTATTATTTTTATTATTGGTTTCTAGGCTTAATGGCTTAACATTACGGAAAAATAAATTCTAGAATGAACGTTTAAAAATAATCTTGGGGTTGGGGCTGATGAGATGGTTCAGAGGTTAAAAGCACTGGCTCAAACCTGGGTTTGATTCTCAGCATCCACATGGTGGCTAACAACCACTTGTAATTCCAGTTCCTAGGGATCTGATGTCCTTTTCTAGATTTGTGGGTACTGCATGACACAGGTATACATACATACATGCAGGTAAAACACTCAGACACATAAAAATAAAAATAATTTTAAAAAATTAAAAATAATCTTGGAACAAAGATTTTATTTTTATTCTTATTTTCATTATTTTGGCTAGCCAGCCTTTATCTTAAATTATGAAATCACAAAATAACTTTTCAAAAATTGGTGACAATTAATGTATAAATAGTTGCCAAAACAGTTTCTTTTCCTGGCACAATGAAAGAGACTGACAAGGTGACAGGAGTGGACAGAGAGAAGCCTGGGCATAAGCTTGGTGGGAGAGGAGGGGGAAGCAAGAACCCTTGCCAGCTTGCCAAAGAAGTTCTCCAGCATTGGGGTCAACTAAGGAAACTGGGTTTGAACACTCCACGAAAGCATGCTATATTTGAGGAAATTTTAACAAAAGAACTAATATGAATTTTAACAAATAGATTAATCATATAATGACACTATTAATGTTTTAAACATTTGTAATAAATATCATGGAGATTACTTTTTCACAAAAAAACAAACCTTTTCAGCATTTGAGTGAAATGCGATAGCCATTTCCAACCTGTGCACTCTCTCTTCAGATGCTATTGTAAACTGTTTCCACACTCTGTTCAGTCGAGGAAGTGTGTCCCCTGAGGACCGTGAACTGCAGCGCAAAGACTGGCATAGCACAACTGTGGCCTGCAGCAACTGTCTACCATAGTCGTAGGTACTCTAGAAAGGAAAACATAAATGCCAAATATAATACAAGCATTTTACAAAAAGGAGCAGAAGGCGGGGAAGCAAGTGACACTAGTGAAAACCAACGCCGCACGGATGCAGTGGCACTAGTAGTCACCTGCATGCACAGCCAACAACAGGGAAGCAGTGTTTTTAGTTAGGGGCTAACTTTCTTCCCCTTTAAGCTTCTATTTGTAGTCTGTGTGCCACATCTGAGGTTGCTAAATTCCACTGGCCAAAAAGAATGTCAATTCTCTGATTACCCAAGTAATAGGTTAATTTAGGCATTTTATATTCTATACAGGAAACTAAAATATTATAATGTGAACTCAATTATTAGGGAAAATACATGAAGACATTCTTGACAGCAAAACAATTCTGTATTATTTTGCCAACACTAGTGAGATACAGAGAGCATTGTTTCTAATTTGCTGATATTTTCAAGTATTTTATATTAACTTCGGTGAATGAACTATTGGACAGCCTATACAATACCATAATACACAATATAAAGCAAAGGGAGCATACAGAACCTATACTCAAGGGAACAATCCCTCTTGAGTTTACACAGTCTAGTTCTGGTGCACCAGCCAGCATTTTCTTAGTTCTGTGCTATTTCTGGAGTAAAAAAACTAACCTTCTTGGACTTGAAAGGTAAGTTATATTATAATCATGTAGAAAGCTACTCAAACACTGAGCTTGTAAAAAAAGAAGATAATCAGCTCTGTACCTGTGCAACATCAACAAATTTCCTATGCTTTTCCAGTAAAACCTTTGTTTCCTGAGCATCATCACCCAATCTGATGTGGGTCTTAAGCAGAGCATCCAGAAGTTCACTTAGCCATTCTACTGCCTAAATGAAAACACAGGACGATAAGGCTAGAGTCATAATTCTTTACATGTGTTAAAACAATCACGTTTATGCAACAACGACTCTTATTTGATTAGTAATAACTCTTTAATTATAACCTTTGTGTTCAGTAGCTTATTCATTCAATGCTATGTTATTTGAATTAACAAGCTCTCCTACTCCTCAAACTTTGGTCTTAAATCTAAAGGCAAGACCCACTGAAGAGAAGTACCTGGTGTTTAAAAACCTGGGGCTGGAGAGATGGTACATCAGTTAAGAGCATTTGCTGTCCCTTCCAGAGGCTCCAAGTTCAGTTCCTGGCACCCATGTTGGGTGGCTCACAATGGCCCATCACTCAAGCTTTAGGGAATCAAAAGCCCTCTTCTGGCCTCTGTGGACAACTGCACTCACAAGTACACCCCAGCCCCCACACAAGATCACATAAAGAAAAAAATAAAATCTTTAAAAACTAGTATCACATAATACAAGATCATGTACATCTATAATAGAGATCTATTGGGTTTTCATTATAGATTTATTGCTACTTAAAATGATAAATTCTACATTAAGATGAAATAATTTTATGATACCGAAAACATGGTAACATCAAATTGCTTATGAAGCACTGAAAATTTTATTATGAGTTGGAAAGTCATGTATCTTTCTTCTGTAATGTAACTGACAGCACAGTCAACAATAAAAAATAATAAATACCCTCAATCTCTAACTCAATAAAGGATTTCTCTGAGGGGATGGGTCAAAATTAGATCGGTAAACCAGATGGAATACCAAACTTTATTCTTTACAGGAGAATTGATATCCTTGTTTAACAAATGTATTTTCTTAGCACCACGAGAAGTCCATTTTATTATAGTTACATGAATGAATTTAATCTCCTAAAGAAATATATTTGCTGTCTGGTCCTTACCTGGGCAGCATCTTCTTCACATTTAAACAACTGTACCATCTGAAGCATCTTCAATCTTCGCACATCTACCATGTCTTCACATCTAATGGAGCCAAACACAGATTTAGCTTATGATTTTGCCTTTAGAAGTATATAACACCATGATCTGGCACACATGTTCAACAGTATACTAAAATACTGAGTCCTACACTATGAAGACTGCAACTATTTTGCATTGACTTGTAAGAAATTTAGGAATATCTAATCTATTATCTATGTTACATCAAGACCTCAAAATACCTGAATGACACTGAATGACAAACTCTCTGGAGGATAGCATGGATTCTGTAAAATATTGAAGCAAAGCATAAATGCAACGGTACACTAAAACCCAAAGACACCTCCATTGCCAGTGTTCATTAAACAAGTTTCAAAGATAAAAATATCAAACTTCAGAAATGACGTTCCATGGAAATTTTTAAAAATTAATACTTTTCATCAAATTACATTGTCTGGAATAATATTAAATTAAAAAAATTTAAAACTACACCTATATTAATTTAAAAAATTGAAAAAAAAACTACACCTATTTAAAGGGGAAAAAACCCCCACTGATTTTGGGTGGGGAGAAACACAGTGCAGAGCACTTCCTAATCTCACTGTGGTCTGCATGGATAACATACAGATTACACTTTAATAGTGTCTCAGACTAACTCAGCTTTGATCATGTCTTCCATTCCCATGCAATTCCATGACTGAGAGGTAGGAAGGGGATTCTGATGCAGCCCCACATATCAGAAATATCAAAGACCTCAATGTAAAGCCTGAAACTCTGAAACTGTTAGAAGAAAACATTGGGAAAACCTACAAGACATAGGTGTAGGAAAGGATTTTCTAAACTGGACATCAACTGCTCAGGAAACAAGAGCAAGAAGTAACAAATGGGATCTCATTAAACTAAAAAGCTTCTGTACATCAAAGGAGGCAACCAGGGAAGTGAACAGAAAACCCACAGAATGGG